CTGCAATATAAACCAGATGCGTAAAAACTTCCTGTCTGCTAGTTTGTAATGTATTAATGTTGTAAAAATATTGGTACAAAAAAAATCAGACATTAATGTTTCTTAAAAAACCACTAATGCTGATATTTTTTTACCATGCCAATATGCTTCATGTACTGTACTCTGGCTGAATGATGATGAGATATTCACCCAATTTTCTATTGCTCGCGTTACATTGTGTGTAGCTTCCATTACAAGTTTCAGTAGACGACCGGAGTGTTTCTTGCCAAGGTCTTGCTAACGTCTTGCTAACGTCTTGCTGGGTGCTTGTATGCTTTGTACCACCATCTTTTGTCACTAGATGCCAGTTTTGGGTGCAGGTTGGGTGGTTGTACTAATGGCAAATGTTGGGGTATTTCTGTCTCATCATGGGAACTGTCAAATACCATGTGACCAGGGTGTCATGTATGCCTATCACCTATATTGTAGTCCTACAACAAAAAAAAAGTATTATATAGCACATCACCATTATTTAGACAGTGCAGTTTTAACATTTAGGCCTAGACAGTTTTTCATAGGACCAGGCCTGCCTAGTCGTATTATTTAGTAGTAGGCCTACCTAGGAAGGCGCCTATTTTTCTATGAAATAAAAAAAATGCACTTGCACAATGTGACAATGTCGCCATGGCATGAAAAGTCTAGGGCCTATACAACGATATTCTAGGCATTTACCCAGCCTTTTTTAAATAGTGCCTATGTGACAGTCCGGCCTAGTCCGACCATATCTCTATGGTCAGACTAGCTAGGCCTATTAAAATAAGTAGTAGTAGTCTAGTAGAAACATACGGTAATAACTTTACCGTCAGCTTCAGCTGGATAGGCTACGTGAGAACTCACCTGTTGCGAGCGGGACGGGAGTACTGACGCTGGTACTGGGTAGATATTGACTGTGTTAATCCTAGGCATAGCCATAGGTGTAGGCCTAACTATCAACAAACTGATATTAATTCAATTGAATTATTCCTCCGTGATTGAACTTACGTCGACTAAACCCTCTCTCTGTTACTGCGTACGTAAACGATCACAAAAACTCACGACTTCTCACTAACTGTATGTATGTAATGTCGAGGCTGTTGGTCGCTCGATCATCGTCGGGACGATTCCTCGATCAGCTGCTCGCCAAAATTGATAGACTGGTCATGAATATTAATGAGTTGGTTAGAAAGTTGCTACCAAGCTACTGAAAAAAGTGATCAGCCTCGTTTTCACCTGATTTTGATTTCTCATCATATTTCCATAATTGTCGTTACATCTAACGTTTTTGAATTTTTTTTGTATTTTTTCCGAACTCAAAAAAGGTTAAATAAGCAATATATGACGACTTATTTTAAACCCGCACTTGGCCTTTAAAGAGTACTATTAAATTCATCAAATCAGATCAAAATAATAAAATCATTCATTCATCCATCCATCCATCCAAAAATCATTCTTTGAAAAAAATAATAAAATCAATGAACAAATTATAAGTTTGTTATTTGTATGCAGAACCGCCACGCATTACTAAATTGAGTGAAATTGCTACATCTGGATTCACGGATGACAAACATGGTCTAGATAGTACTACCAAACAATTCGTGGAACCAAGGAACACAGATAAAGGAGAAGTAACATATGAAGAAAAGACGACTACCCCAAACACTGCAGGACCTCTGCATTTTACTACATTCATTGAAATCAGTTCTTCTAAATTCACTGAAGACGAATATAAGACTGCTAAAAACAAGACTACACCAGTCACTGCTGGCAAAATGGGACAACAGAATGAAGGAGGGGAGTCTTTAGTGATAGCTGCAGTAGGATCAGTTGTATCTGTGTTTATAATTATTGCCATAGCAATAATCATTTTGTATTTTATAAAAAAGAAAGCAAAGCATGGGCAAGTATTTAATTTTACATTTACACAGGATTATATACTGAAGATTATAGGCTTTGTATTTGTTTAATAAGCATTTTATTTATTATCATCTAAAAGAAAATTAAAAAAACAATAATGGATATAAAAATATAAAAATTAAGGTTTAAAATTGTTAAAGTAGTTTTTATACCTGATAAACTGATACTGATAAAAATTAAAAAATAATTAGCAGGCAAACCATAGAGAAATTTATGCAAACCATAAAGAAATTTATGCAATATAAATGTTTCATAGAAAATATGGGTAATGATTCAAATAATCACCGGATTGTTAGTAAGCCTATTTTATTTATAAAAAATAGCAGTTATCTATTAAATGTTAATAGAAACCATATTAAAAGTCTCAATAAATTGTTGCACTCCGTTAAAAATGTAAATTATTGCTCTTTGCCTAGTCATTACGTAGTCACGTGTGTGCTGCAAACTAAATATGTGGCCTTCTGTATAACCAAAAAGCTGCGCCAATATGCCAGGATGATTTAAAGTCCCCGTCTGACAGGCCAAACCCTTAATTCTGTTTTTTAAAATTATTTAGAGGAAATTTTTTTCTGAAAGCCAGAAGCTTCGCCCCTATATTTCGTGGTCTCGGTCGTCGATCGGAAAGACCCCAACCCATCGGGCGAATCCAGGCGCCACCATTGTAAACACATGCGTGGTGCAATTTGAAAATATTATGTAGTATAATCTAACATAAAGCCTATTAATTACACTAGTTTCATTGTAATAGGGTCTATGTGTTTTTGTTTTTTTTTATTTAGGTCTTCTAAACCACAGTCAGCGTCACATGAAATGAGAAATAGTATCTATATGACCAATGCAAGTACGTAGCCTATTACGTTACTATTATAATAGGCCTAAAAACCGTAATAGAATATTAAATATACATAATTACTGTGTCTAATAGAAAATCTAACAGTATGATACTTATAGGCTGGAAGTGTGCTCTGAATAATTGAACAAGTGTCATGTTAAAAAAAAAAAAGTCCAACATTTTTTTTTTATTGTAGATGAAACACATGGCATGGAAATATCTGACAACAACACAACAACAGAAAAGCATGAAAAAAACGAATATGCTTGTTACCCACGTGACAGACAAGAGCAACTGACGTCAACAGTGGCATCAGAGGATTCACCTTGTTACAGCACACTACGGAAGGAGGAAGAAAAGAGTGACGTCATACTAAATCAGAGTGAATCGCAATATATGTTTCTTCATTATGATTCAAGAGCGAACACAAGTTCGACTGAACGTCAGACAGCTGATACTGAGTCAGATTATTCTTACACTAGCTATCCAGGGAAAAGTCGGACGGACAACGAGGAAGCATCAAAGGAGTCACCTGAATACTACACACTGCAAAAGGAGGAGAGTGGCGTCATACAAAAACAGAATGCATCTCAATCTAAATATATGGTGCTACAGCACGATACAAATACTACAGCGAACACAGGTCCGTCTGCAACAGAAAGGGAGTCAGAGTCTGAGTATTCATACGTTAGCTATCCTATGAAAAGTCAGACTGACAACGAGGAAGTACCAACGGATTTACCTGTGTCCACCTTGCAGAAGGAGCAAGATAATGATGTCATTGATTTTATATCTAATGTAAGAGTAAAGCCTAATAATATCGATATTGTGAAGCAGGGAGGATTGCAATCTGGATATATGTGTCTCCAACAAGATGGAAGTATTCGATCTACCACAATCGTACCTCCACTTGCAGTTCATGTCAAGGCCGACAATGAGAGCGATGTTGAGTCTGAGTACTCATATGCTACCTACCAAGGAAAAGGTCAAAATCAAACAATGCCGATAGGAAATGCAGATCGGTCGAAGGGTTACACGCCAAAAACAGACCAGGGCAGTGCCGTCAACAATACATTGAACGTTAGGTCACTTCGAAATGATGATGCTTATGCAGAATTGAAGCTTGGTGTGAATGATTCCAACGAAGGTTCATACGATACGTTAAATCACCTAACTCGCACTAGAGTTCCAGATGACGTAATTGACGACTACAACAAGCTGATACTTACCCCTGAATATGGTGAAGAGTCAGAGGAGTATACTAATCTTAACATGACATTTCTGAAAGCGTGACCGATGCTAGCTATGGAAAATTCAAACTGTCGGTAGGACCAGCGCATGGATCGATTTAAACCAGCTGGGCAGAATCTTTAATGATTGATATGAAAAAAAACTTGGTTATTTACCATGACATAACACACGTTCTCAATCATTTCAAATGATAAAATAGGGATTCAATTTGTAGACTTAAATATAACTTTTTTTTAACAATAACATTTAATATAATAAAACCTAGACCAGGAAATTCGGGGATAGTCAGTTATAGGATAGTTGTAATTCTTCTAGTTTACTTCCAGTGATAATATTTATAAATCCACTGTCCAAACATTAACTCGACAATGGTTTTAGGCCTACTCCTACGTTAGGTTAGTTAGTTACTACCATTTATTGTTATTTATTGTTATTTATAATCATTTATTAGTATTACTAATAATGTATTATATTATATTATTTCATGGAAAAACCAAATTATTACAACAGAACCCTCTGAAAATCGAAGAAAAATGGCCTTTTACACGGGCTCCGGTCATTGTAGTTGCTAACGAAAAATGCAAAAAGACGGGGACTTTTTTAAGCTTTTGAAATTCAAATAAAACAAGTTGCTTAAATAACTGAACTATAACATATCAAAAGTACAGAATTATCTGACAACAGGTAACGGGGAACGGACGATGTCAACACAAAAATTGGCCATTTAACCCGAAAATACCAGCCCGCGGATAGCGTGCCTCCCGCTGTGCCAGTAGCTTGGTCGAAAATGTTGACCATATTAGATCCATATGGAACATAATGTAGACGAGGTATTAATTTATTTCGTGAATATCTACTTTACATGGAAACGAATATTTTTCTAGAGAATTCCTAGGCTATTACATTACTTTTCACAAAATGTTACGGTATTTGATGTATTTAATATTGAGCGTCTTGCTGCAAAAACTAAGAACAAAAAATAAAACAATTTAAAAACAAAGATTGGGAGTATCATTTCTGGGGGTCCAGGTACAACACCTTTTTTTGTTAATTACTCTATTCAATATATTTCAGTGTATTTAATTTATGCCTATTCAAACATACAATAAAAGCAACAAAAACAATTAAATTATCACAAAATACAATGACTGGATTATTATCATTATATATTATTTATTATTATTAATTATACTGAAGTATAAGAATACTTAAAATATACAAATAAAAAGAAACAAGCAAAAAAAAAATACAGTAAAATTTCGGAAAAATGAATACAAGATATATTTTTACGAAAAAATAGCATAATAAATTTATAAAAAAAACTCAGTTTCAACTTATGGGCTGAGATGGGCGACGGCGAATCTCTTGGTACTTCCCCCCCTTATTTTGTCAGTTAAAAGAAATATTTAAATTTGCCGTATTTAAAATTGACTTACTTGCCTAAACAGTTAATGAGGACGCATTGAAAGTTTGAGAGTGCTATTTTACACACCCTATATTTTTAAAGCCCAGTCCCAAACGCGGTGGGACTGATGTGGATGTGAACACTCCATTTTTAACAACTTGATGTATTTAAAATTGAATGACTTACAATACGATGATGGGGCTAAGGTGCAAACTATTTTGATACGCGCCCTAATAGTTTTACTTTGTCCATATAAATAATTGCTACGGGCTTTTAAGTATGCATCTTATTTCTTATTTTTTCGGGTCTTTAATTTAGTAATTACATGTAACTCTTTCAACCGATTTTGTCAATGAATAGATGCAGACTTCTGACTTCTTGAAGGTCTTTAAAAATGTATAGACCTTCATTTTTTTTTCCATATTATGTTGAAACTGTGGCATGTTAATTTTTTTCTAGTTAAAGTATATTTAAAAGTATAACATATTGGAAGTGAAATATAACAATATTCCAGATAGACGTTCACTAATGATTTTTGAAAAGCAATAGTTGGAGATAACGTACATTGTAAGTTTGAGGTTTGTCATATTTTAAACAAATTAATAAGTGGTTAACAAATGTCCGACATTCGTTGTCACAATGAAAACATCCAAAATATATTGGTCCTCGAACTAAATACTTTCAGTAACCACATTAATAGGATCGTTTCTGAGATTATGTTATCATCATTATCATAAAAATGATCACCATCATTATCATTATTATAATTTTCAGTATCATTATCATCATTATTATTATATTCTCATTATATTATTATTGTTATTATTATTATCATTGTTATTACTGTTACTATATTATTATTTTTCGATTGTATGCAATACGTATTGCTGATGAAGACCAGAGGAGTGCTCAATTCGTTCAAAAAAATGGTATGTCTATATAATGTTATGGTAAAAGTCAAGAAGTATATTGCATAGGACAACTTCCTCATGGGGTATGATTGTATTCATTGCTTGCCTTTAAAAAAAATTGCGATTTAAGAGAATTCAAAAGCCTTACAATGGCATGTTAGACGATGGAAGTTAGTTTTGACAAATAATGCATTACAATGCATTACAATATCTCGCTATCGTTCGGTTCATCGATTCCCATAAGGAAATAAACACTCTCATACAAGAATAACCATCAAATCGCAGAAAAAAAAGCAACGTATTTTACAATGTTTGCTGTACAACACAGTACGGAGAAAATATTTATAGTAGTCTTGATATCATGCTCTGTCAAGTGTCAAATTGAAGAATGCCCGTAAGTTAGGCAACGACAGTGGAATCTTTTTTGAAACGTGGGGGGTGGGGAGCATTTCATAATGTAATAAATCCAGTATGCAAACGAAGCGAGCATCTAGGCTGGTGGCCAGGGGGCAGCCCAGGGCCCCCGGTGGGGGTCCAGGGGTCGAAGCTCCCTGGGAAGCTACGGATATTTGTTTGAATTGTATTAGTTATTGTATAGGCATCAAGCTACTGTAATGTGACTTCATAATATTGTATTACTTCAATAGTACGTTCAAGATCAATCGATGGCCACTCAGAGTCTCAAATTCAAGATGGCCGCCAAAATTTAAAATGGCCCCCAGAATGAACTTAATTCTGTAAATTCTGCCTGTTATTTGTTCCTGTTAACGTTTTAAGTAGATTTATCCTAAAACATATACATTTTAAAGTTAACTTTAAGGCCACCAAAAAGTTGACTTCATATCCAAAATGACCCACGACAATTAAAAATGGCGCCGAAATTACCTAACAGTAAGATGTATGCTGCCTGCAATTTTGTTTCAATGGATCTGTCATGTAAATAACCAATACTAGTCAAATTGGATTAGAGAGCCATACAAAATAAGGCCTCAAATCCAAGATGGCCAACAAAATCCAAAATTACAGTTAACATATTTATATAACTTTGTTCCTGTAAACATCAGAAAGTTGTAGTTTCGAATCCTATATATATATATTTATATATATATATATATATATATATTATATATATAATTATTATGTTTGATTCGACTATAACATCTTATATTCATATCTGATCACTGTTATCAATTGTTTGTTTGTTTTACAGGTATAGTTTCTAGATGACAGAACCCCGTAAAAAAGCCTTTAAACAAAAAAATAAAATAAAATAAAATAAATAAATTCAAGAAATATACATCTTATTAAGGTAATTCTGGTGGCCATTTTTGGTAGTCATCTTGGATATGATGTCAACTTCTAGGTAGCCTTAAAGTTAATTTCAAATTAATTTAGGATTAACAAATTCACTGAAAAACGTCAACAGGAACAAATAATAGGCAGAATTTACAGAATTAACTTTTACAGAATAAAGTTACAGAAGTACAGTTACAGTTTTACAGAATTAAGTTAATAATTGTAATTTTTGGAGGCCATTCTGGATTTTGGTGGCCATTTTTAATTTAAAGTCAAATTCTTGGTGGCCCTTGATTGATCTTGAAGGGTTTAGATCTGGGGTGATTATTCTACTAAAAAAAAGTTGACAACGCCGGATGAATATGCTGCATATCTCTAATAATTGTAATTTTGGCGGCCATTTTGGATTTTGGCAGCCATCTTGAATTTGAGGCAAAAACCTGGGTGGCCCTCAAGTTTATTTCATAGGGTCAGGATGATGAAACAGCTGAGAAAAATTTGACTGGAAAGAATGACAGTTCATCCTTGGCTAGGCCCTCTCTATAAGATATTGCGCATGAGCACCACATTAAACTCACACAAAAACAACTATTTCATTCGTTTAACACTCTAAACAATCTTCAGACTGCCTTGTTTATGTTCCGTCTAAAGCAATAACCATCTTCCGCCTCAATTTCATTTATATTTCAAAAGATTTAACCAACAACACTCTTACCATACCAGATCTGCGACTGCAAAAAAAAAAGAGGAAAAAACACAAACAATATAATTTACGAAAAACATTTCACCATACATAGAATAACATCCTTCACTACACCGGACTGAATCCGTGGAATGACATTCATCTATATGCTGTTTATAAACATTACTGTTATTACTTTTATTATTATTATTATTATTATTATTATTATTATTATTATTATTATTATTATTATTATTATTATTATTATTCTCTTATTACTAGTATTTTATCAACTGCTATTTATTGTTTTAAAATAATTGTTATTAATATTATAGTTATTATTACTTATTTAACTAATATATTATATTTGCGTTGTGTTAAAGTAAATGAAAGAAAAATCAAATCAATTAATCAAGGTACAAAACCTAGTAAGTACTCACGACAGCCGCAAAGCAGCCCTACCCGGCTAATGGCAGTACATCCGAAGAGAGGCAATCCCATTATTCTAACCCTATCTCATGAGCTAAACCACCATTTTGTTAAACAATGCGCAAATATAAACAATACTCTCTTCTATAACTACTTGCACTTTTGAATAATTGTGCGTCTTCTTTTAAATGTTCCTGTTATTAATTTGAAAAGTGTATATCTAAAATAAATTTGTATGATTATGAGGACAAATGAAATTCCTTGTTTCTTTTTTATATCTTGTAGTCCTAGTATTATTCAATACGTTTTTTGAGTGTTTTGAAGCTGTGTTTATTTATATAATTAAGTGGTCGATAGGAGGAAGTTCAAAGGTATATATTTCATACTTCTTTGTGAGGTATGCATGTGTTCACTGTTGGTGTTTTGTAAACAGTATAGGACAGCATTTTGAACAGGAAGTGGTTTTTTTTACAAAGTTCTATTATATACGCCACGTATTTGTAATATTTGAAATATTGTAGTTAATCAAACAAAATGAATTCCAATTGTATATTGTAATACCATGGACCTATTAATAGGTCAATGGTAATACAGTGTCTTTCTGGTAGCTGCATTCGGTTCAGCGATTTACATAAGGAAACAAAGGCTCGCAGACTAGAATTTAGCCAAGCAAATCGAAAATATATGCAGAAAATAATACATCTTTTAAAATGATTTCTGTAAAATACATCGTACATTGGTATTGATATCATGACGTGTTTACAGTGTATATGGAGATTAAACCTAGCCTGGCCTGTAATGCACTGTCTTTAGCAAACAATTCCCCATTTCAACACATGAACCCTATTATTAACTCCGCGGGTTGTATTAGAATACTAAGGGGATGACTACGAGTTGGGTCTACTAGGAATTAAAGATTTGACTTAAATACAAATGTACGGTTGTTGTCAAAGCATAGGAATAGGTCCATGGGTAGACCATTGGAAAATGAAGACTAGACAAAGTGCTTGCTCAATGACGCAAACAAGCGAAATGCGAGTCGAGTGACCGAGTACAGGCAGGTTCCTTCTCTCCGAGTAGTGCCAAAGTGCGAGCCAGCGAGTCATGCGAGCCAATGCGCGAGTCATGCGAGCCAATTCGCGAGTCATGCGAGCCAATTCGCGAGTCATGCGAGCCAGCGAACCATGCGAGCCATACATTTTAAATCTTTTTTTTTTTTTTTTTCAGGTTATCCAATTTTGCAAACACGTAGGCCTAGCCTATTTTTTTTTTTTTTTTTTATATATTATTTTATACATACTGTATTTATTTATATATTTATTTATATATAAATAAATACAGTATGTATTTATTTATATATTTATTTATATATTTTTATATTTATTTGTATATTCATTTATATATAAATATGTATATAT